CTCATTTATATGTTCTTAGTTATCTCCTGATGAAGCCAAGAATGTTCACGAAAATTTGAGAATTTAATGAATGTAATAATATCAGCTCATTGCATTGTTCACAAGCATTTACCTACCGATAACCTCAATTTAGTTATCTTTAATTCAACTATTTAGCTAAGGATGTGGATTATTCTAGTTTTAGGGAAATGCGAAGATTAGCTAAGAGTGGGGGTGCGTGACCATTCAGTCTTAGGACTGACGATGATGATGACAAATGCAACTAGTGCGATAGTTACCAAAGTCAATTTTATTAGTTTTAAAATTAAAAAGAGCAATAATGCCGGTGCCTTTGAGTTTAGAAAAAAAATTGAAATGATTTTAAATTGGGATATAATGTATATTTAAAATTTCCAATCTTAAAGTCTCCGGCATTAAGTTTTTTTTTTATTTGAAACTAATATTTGATATTCAGTGAAAGGTTTATTATTTATAAATTTATTTCAAATTCAAAGCTCTAATACTTTAGCTTTCAGCAGATCTCTTTAACTTTCCTGGGGCTCATGTAGTTAGCTTGTTAGGAATGCGAATTTAAATTCATTGATCGATCTTCATCCAAGGAACTTCTCGCATTAATTTCGCATTAAATAACCGAAACTTGTTAAGTGTGAATTAGGAATTACAGAAACCGCAATTGATGATATACCTATTTAAATTCTTAAAGATGATTTTGGAGTATTTATGTTTTTGTATTCTGGTTGGATGCCGATCAGAATAAAACATGGTTACATATATATATATATGTATATATATGTGTATGTGCGCTTAAACGAAGTTTAACCGAGTCTTTATAACTCTTGTCTCGCACGTACTTTCCCGATAAAGCAGTCGTTTTCTTCGGGCAATCTGATAATTGGCCTAACTTTGAATCCTTCCACTAAAAGAAAGAAGCGCGACCGATGTCGGCAACGGCCTGGCTGGAAAACAGTTTCGAAACTCGGTTTAGAGTTGTTTTTTTAAAACTTCAACCATGAAAAGAGCGAAATCGGCGTTTTTCTTTGGCGAAACTACCACGTACTTTTATTCGAATACAGTTGAATAGTTATTGCACTTCTTTCCGACTTTCAATTCGAAATGTTATTTTGTGGCAAATAAAATCAAGAGCATGTAGAAAATCTGACAGAAACACTTTTACGCGCAATTGAAGATGTCAGTATACACTTCGAGAAGTCAAGTTTTTGTAAGATTGAAATACAAAACGACTTGATCCTTATTGTTATTCTATTGTTATAATGTGATTGAAGTAGATCAAATAGTTTGCTAAGACACGAGACACTGATATGTAAATGTGTAACAGTTCAAGGCAATTAGGCCTAAAAAGTTTTTTTCTAGTAGGATAACCAAAACTCAAATTTCGTCATTATGCCCTAAAACTGTATCAAGTTAGATTATTCCAGTCAATTGCGGGTGTTCATAAATATTGTCGTGTATAATACATTACTTCTTACGCTTAAACTAAGTATCAAACTGGTACCAATACGATTACTTTAGCGCCAAAATTTGCAACGTATTTTGGTAACAGCCCAAAATAAGAAGAAAATAAAGAATAAAATTTTTCGATATGTCGCTTCGTTTTCGAGATATAGATACTTGGAGTTTTAGTTTTAAAATTAATTTTATAGAAATTACTGTTTGTAATTGAGGCGCCAAAGTTATCGTACTCCCTCCATCAATCCAGTTCTTCCATTGCTGTCTAAGAACTAGCTATAGTTTTTCTTCGAACGCTCCTATCAATAACTTCTCTATTGAGAACATTTTACGCGAGTTTTGAAGTACATCGGAGAGGAATAGTCACAGAGAGCAAGGTCAGAACTATTAGAGAGCATACTTCACCACATTCATGCCCACCATTGTCAAATAGTCCGTTTGTAGCACCAGCTCTGTGAGCAGGTACAGTGATGCAGGAATCTGGAACTGAGTGTCGAGTATGGTCTACTCGACAGTTTCTTACTTAAGTAGGCCGGATAGGTTTTAGTGTACCATAAACTTGTAACAGTCTTCTAACTAGCAAGCAAAACAGATTTGGCAATATCATGCTTATTAAAAACCGCCATCATTCTCTTGTCAACAGATTTCGAGTTTCCAGGTTAGGTCGATTGCTCCTCATCAAATACCCATAAATGATTTGTATATTAGTAGGTACGTCGTCATAATGTATTCAAGTTTCGTCGCCAAACAATAAAAACTAACTCCTCAGATTTACTATTCTACAACTGTTTTAATATGAATTTTATTAGTCGACGCAACATTGCTGATCGTAGTATATGGGGTAAAAACAACAAAACACACAAAGCTTTTTTACTTGCCTGTCTTCTCCTGTTGTCTTCTCCACATGAGCTACCAAATATCATCACCCAATCCAAGTTCATCTCATTTGCTTAGCAGATACCACCATTTTATTGTCTTCAAGGATGCTGCTTCTCGACTAAACACAAAAAAAACACATTTCAAATTGTAGTACAATTGTAATATAAACGGTCAAAAGACCGTCACATCGTAACACAAGGACATTCACATTCAAATGCTAATCGGAAATATCTTTGAAGCTAATTTGCTCTTAATTGTTCGTATTCCGAATCTTTTTTTTTTTGGTAATAATTTTTGACTGCTTCACCAATGTCTACCACCACTTTTTCCCCAATTTATATGTCCGCTCTCCGGGAATTCAATAAGATTTAGGCCCAAACATCTATAAATTTTTGAGCATTATTTGGATGACACAATTAAAAGAAAGTAAGCCACTTTTATCCTTTGTATGTACCCCTTGTTGCTAGTAGGCAGTAATTTTTCTTAGAAACGTAATTCTTAATACACAAAAAATAATAAAGAAGTACTTTCCTCTGTTAGTTTTTTATTGTTGATCAATAAACATTTATTTAACGGAACTGTTCGAAACTCTAAAAAGGAAAATACTTCATAAATCGAATGAAATATTCTTCCTACAAACTTCCCCTATGAAGTGTTTTGTTTATTTTTTTACTATTAACTTTTCATTCCGAGAAAATGCTTTAAATTTTGATACAAAGGCACGCGCTTTATATTAGAAGCTTCTTTTTATATATACTTATAATATTCAGATCGAAGTAACGTTATTTTTCGAAATGAACTTTTCATCAAAACGTTGCTCTCAAGGAGTGCACGTTCCTCAAGTTGATGTTTCCATTGTTAAGTGGACGGATTAGGGGTTCTTTCGAGCGTGAAATTCTTTATCTGATATCTCGTTTTTCGGGAAATTTCACAGCAGGCAGCGTTCTAGAAACGGGGAGCAGAAGAGGCGCACTCTCGCGGATATTAAGCTCTTCATCCGCGATTTATTTTTATTTAAGTATACAGGAGCCATCAAGCGTTAACGACAAGTCGACTTCCTTCCCTACAACAACTGCAAACAATATCTCAACGCTAAACTCATCATTACATATTCCAAATTTATACTTTCACACAGATACTCCGTATGAAAAACAAGCTAGTACCTAAATAGAAACAGAAAAACTGATCAAGTCATCAAGTGTGACTAGAACTCGTGCACAGAAGGATCCATACACTAGAAATGAAATTTTAATCTTGATTACCATCATTCACTTTTCTTAGCTTACTGATCGGTAATAATTAACTTTAAATTCCTTAATTTAAAAGGTTACTTTGGGTTCAGATTGCTGTAAACATAAGGAATGATAGAGCAACTATAGTCACTTCGTTCGTGTTGTCTTTTCCTACCAGTTAAGTTAATCTAACCGAACAATGCTTTTAATTATTTAGTGTCTTTAGTGTCTTTTAATGTTAATATTATTTAAAATAACTAACTAAGAAAACACTAACAAAAACAAATAACAATTTATAAACAAAAAGAAAAACGGACACACAAGTAGCAAAAAGACGCCAGGAGAACGAAATAAAATGACAAAAAAAGAACAAGATAATATAACAGTAACAATAACAAAGACAACAAAAATTAACAGAGTAGATAATAGCAGAAGCACTTACAAACGGTAGTAGATACTGGCTTATATAAATACGTAGAATTCAAGAGAAAGCAATTAAGGGTAAAACCAGATATTAGTATGAGAATGCACGCAGTTATGGTTGAAGGTGGACTTCTAGGTAAAAGTGATTTAAAGAACAATGGACTTTAGATTGAAAAGAAACCAAGGTATGTACGAGATAAGAAATTGAAAATAATTGAAATAATATTTGAAGTGAAATAAATTTGAATAAAAAAGAATACTTAGGAAATAATATTTACGCCACAGTTAATTACCATGGGTTACGACAGGAAAACACGAACGAAGCGATGGAGGATGGTTCCAGGAGGTAGGGAAGACCTCGTAGAACACAAGAAAGTATTTAAGTGAGTGCGGATGCCCGACTAGAATTTTGATGGGGGTGCAGGTAGGGTCCCTAAGGAGCAGCCACACTTCCTCTTGTGGGCCCCACGAGGGCAAGAAAGGGGTATGCCGCATTTGCGCCTCATCAGGTATGCCACATGTGGGCCTCATCGGGAATGCCGCATTTGCCCCTTATCAGGAATGCCGCATGTGGCCCCCGCGGGGAAAAATTATTGCTACCCCATTAAAAATTTTTGGAATAATGAATGAAAAAAAAAATACAAAATTGATTGAGAAACATATTTTACCAANTTGTATTAGATTTGAGTTAAATTAAATACTCTTAAATCGGGCATCCATCAAACGGTTTAGTTGTTCTGTAAATTAATAGCGTAGCATTACCTATTTTACAAATATTAATAATCAAGATTGAATTATTCAAACTTTTTCTAATACCTACCAACTTGAGCACCTTCCTATTGTTTAGTTTTATATTTACTCGTCGACGGATGTCAATGAATTTAAATTTTTATGTAATTTTTCTTGAAGAGTCAGTGTTATTGAATTATTTAATCAGATCCACTAGATGAAGATATTCGAGACTTTCTTATGATGTTTTTATTATTAATTTTCTTTTTCTTTTTCGTTGTTGCAAGGTTACAACTTTCGTCATCTGAAGTGGAAGAATGTTTACTATTTTCTTCATCTAAAAACGAAAACAGCATACAAATATCATTCATAAGAACAGAAATTACAATTCAGCTATTTAAAAATCTATTACTTAAAACACTTTTAGCGTACCAATTGCTTTCGTTGCACTTTTGGAAGTTAATTTGAACTTTTAAGTGGTTGTTTTCACTTGTTGATTTATTTCCTAATGCCTTTTGTGATGATAGTTCATGATCTATAAATTTAAAATATTATAAATAATTTTTGACGGATTATGAACAATAAGAATAAAAAAATGTGTTCATTTCTTTATATACAGGAGCTTAATAGTATCGAAACGTCTTTTCTTCTCAGTGTGTATAGATAAGATTCATTAATGATAAATTCGATGGTAATTTTACTTACCCTTATTTACAATCATTTTCGGAATAATGCTTAAATGTTTTTCTAAAAAGGTTCACATCATCAGCAGCCTTCGATTATGCTGTCTCTTCGCTTTATGTAGAATAAGCAAATATTCCAACTGACACTCACTAGCTTCTTGATATGTTCCTGCAGTTTAAAACAGTGTGCGAAGGCGCTATGTCGATCTCTTTTTTCTTTTTTTTTACAAATCAACCTATGTTTGTAATCCGCAACCGTTTTTAATGCGCTATTGTGAATATTCATGGGGATGAATTTTTTACAACAGTTATTACACTAAAAAAATTATTATCATCTAATTACTGTGAGTAGGTCGAACCAAACTGTGAGCTCAGAAATTAAAATTAAACTAATAATCTTATGTATGCTAATAATAATATTTTTTAATGCTGGGTTGCTGGGCTAGACGCTAGACAGAAAGCAATAGTGTTCAACATCCGTTGAAAAATATAAACATAAACAATGCATTTCACAGAACAGAGTAGATTAAAAACGTATGTTAGATAAGGTAACAGGTATGGTGTTTAAAATCGGCAAAACAAAAAACAAATTGAAAAACAAAAAATGCTCACAATATTCACTTTTACACATGTAGCAACGGTATAATATATTATTTTAATCAACTTCTATGATTTTACGGGTAGCGATATTTTCATTGTTTGCAGAAACTATACATTTTTTAATATTTAGCATCGCATGGATATAGATTTTTTTTGGCAGTACTTTTCCACAAATTTCAATACAATTTATATCTTCATTTGGAGAAATATATACATACATCACTTATTTGTAAAATTTGTTTGCTCTTAAGTAAGAATGTGTAAGTTTATACATGTGAGGTTTGCCCCTTAAGGCCCATATGAAAAACCCATAAGGCAATCCTCATTTTAGTATTACCACTTTTTTTGGTGGGGTTTTTATGAGGAATCTACGGGGCAATCCCTATATCGGCATGCCCCTCGTTTGCCACATGAGGCCCCCACGCTACATGGGGCATGCCCCTTATAAATTCTAGTCGGGTGGTAGTAGCACAGAGGGTGGAGGTTAAAAAGTCGAAAACTGGAAAAAGTAACTTTAGCATAACCATAATCCATATAGAAAACATTAGTGCCTTAGTACTTCGATAATTGTGACTATAGATGTCGCAGTGGCATACTTATACGGTGGGATTAATAACTACTCGACAGATATAAATTTAAGTTAGTGTTAATGCGTCAAAAGTCGCAAAACAGTGATAAAAAACAGAAATTAATTAGTCTGCCAATTTGTTGAAGAATTAGAAAGAGTCGCCGTGTGATTTATTCGCTGAAAAGATCTCTGAAATATTTTAGCGAACCTTGAACATGCATTAAAAGATGAAGATGTAATCGTATTTTGCAGCCGAGTTACTGCTACGGTAACATCAGTTACGAACTTATTAGTCTCTTGAACTATGATACCGATTACGAGTTCCACTTGGCTGGGGATCTTTTTATCCTCTTTGATGTCGTACCGCCTTCGCTTGCTGCCGCCCATTCGCCCTTGGAAACTTTTTAATTTGGAAGGCGGCTAATCACAGCTGCGACTATGAAAGATTATCTTGAGCTGAATAATAAAAAAGAGATTCCTTTAATGGCTTCATCCTCTCTTCTTGTTCGTCAAGATGTAGCATTGTTATCACAACCTAATCCAATTATTTCCGGAAACGTTTCTTAGGGAGACCGTAATCTTAAACGAGTTGAGCAATAACAGGGAATCTTTCCAGGACTGCCTTTTAGTTTTAAAGAATTTTGACCAACGTAGGCAGGTATTTTTCATTTTTTGAGTAAATAGAACTTATAGGTACATTATTAATATCACATCATTGTTTTTTTTTTTTTTAATAACGGCTTCAGTTCAGAGTTGACAATAAATTATGATTTTAAATTTTATCATGTTTATTTTAATTGAAACGAAGAATGTTAAATAATTAAGTAAATCATGAAGCTCCTACAAAATCAAAAAAATGTAAATAAATCTAAAACGTTTGGCATGACCCCGGTGTCAACAAAATTGTAATGCTTGAAAAATGAAAACTGACTTTTGGATATTGTAGGAACAGAAATACCAAACCGTTTGGTAAAAAGAAACGTTGTGCCCATATTCATAAAATAGTGTAATATTCGGGGTTTAACAAAATTAACAAGAGTGATAACGACAAACACTATTTATTTACACTAATTATTAAAGAACTTAAAAACACTATTAAATTATTACTAAACTTAGGTTATGAATTATTCTATTTATTTACACTACTGTTGATATATCACTATTCACTGCTATCACTGTCAATTTATTTCTAGATTCACTTCTGCGACGGTCAATTTATTTCTCCTCCTCTCGGCGATCGTCTCTTCCTTTAAATACTCTTTTGTTTACTTTATGGAACCTTGTGGAAACATCCGACTAGTTTATTTTTTCATTGAACTGTTTAACTGCTTTCCCAGAACGCAGGTACGACATACACATTTACAAATACGGCGCACATGAAGTAAGGCGCCCGCGGCTAGTCGGCGAATCGATAAGCCGTCACGCACACGTGTGCCTGATCGCACACAAACACACTCGTGCTCCCTACAATAGTAATATAAACGAGAGGCTGGTGTCTCAACAACGAAAACAATACATATGCAGTAAAATAAAATGATTATTCTGAGCTATGAATTGTGGCAAGAAACGAGCAGTTTTATCACTACAATAAATAGCCTAAGCCAAAGTGCGTCAAAATACCCGAATTTCAAATTAAACTGTAGCAACAATTTTACACTGTGTCATAATAAAAACCATGGATGTTACTCAAACTACACAGGGTATCTCACGGTGAACGCCCATTAGAATATTTCGGAAACTATTTCGATTTTAAATTTTGAAAATTTTTACAATAGCGTTATTGGTAAGCTCAATTAAAATAACGGTATCTATGTAGGACTTCCGGTTCTTATGACGGTTTTAAATTCTATTTATGATTTTAGGTAGATTTTCATGAGGCTTTCCTACTTCCAAAATTTACCATTTCAGAGATATTAACTGTTTTCTGAAAAAAGTAGCACAGAGTAGTGGTAGTGGTAGTGAAAAAGCATACCTATTGTGCAGTAGAAAGAAAGCTGGAGCAACAATAGTAGCTATACCCTCAAGCTTCCCATGCATACTTTCAAAGTGGCTTAATTAGTTATCGGGTGTTAGATATTTAATGGCGGATACGGTTAACTTCTGTCAAGAGGCCCTTGTTACACATGAATTTACCGGAACTAAACTAATACCTTTAATTATTATCATCAGCTGATATAGTTAACAAATAGAAATTAAAAAAAGGTGATGTAGAGGTAGATTAGATTACTCTTCGCAAATAGTTAAGGATGTGGGTTGTTCTAGTTTTAGGGAAATGCGAAGTTTAGCTCAGGATAGGAAAGAGTGGAGGTACGTGTCCAACCAGTCTTAGGACTGATGACCTTATGATGATGATGATGATGTCTTACTTTGTCTTTGATAGTCAACCTACGACTTCTCTTTCCGACAGAATTGTAATTATTGGAGGTATACATACCTTCTCCATGAAGGGAATCTAGGCTGCCCTAATATTATATCTATAGCCGTTGTCTTCTCAGCAAGTAAAATCACAACCTTGAATCTCCCCTTTATAACAACTAGTTTAAACCGGTAAAAACTAATTTAACTGAAACTTAGCTTTAACTAAGATTATCAAATTTTACCTAGGAAAAGTAGAATAGATCAAGAGGATTGTTTTTCCTAAACTAATCGTGTTGTGTAATGAGAAAAATTGATGCTGTTGTCACGCCCACGCTGGGAATCGAACTCCTGGTTATACGCACCATTGCTCTACCACTAATTGTAAGCTACGAGAGGTAGCAGCAGCAATAACGACGACACGTACCCAACTACATAGGTAGGAATAGTGGAATCAAAGTATTGGGATTTGACATAAAACGATACGGCACCTGGTGGCAGAAATTTTAACTGCCCAAGCATTGCATTGTAATAAACAGCTATTGTGTACTGTGTTATTTTGCAAATTGTGATTATTAATATTTTATATAATATGGAACTAGCCAAACTTCCATTTCGTGCAAAATCAAAGTGCAGAACCGTTTGTGCTGTAAAAGGTTGTACAAGTCGATTAGATAAGGACTTAGATATTATATTTCATAGTTTTCCTTCGGTGCAACGGGTCGTAACTATCACAAATGTATTTGGTAATCTTGAGAAAATCGATCAAATTAAAGCTTGGAAAAGAGCTTTAAAAAATAAAAATGTCAGCTCATGTACAAGAGTTTGCTCACTTCATTTTAAAAAAGATGACTACATTTTTCCGGGTAAGTAATAATCGAAAATGTTGTATTTCTATACTTAACCTCACTTTCTAACTCCAATGTGATGCTAAAATTTATGCGTTAATTTTTAAAGATGTTGCAGTAAAACGCAGAAAACTGAAAAGGAATGCTGTCCCGTCTAATAACTTACCTAATGTCAAAATAGATAATAGTCGCGAAACTCGAAAAATTAATAGACGTAAAAATATTGAAGAATTAATGGAGAAGCAGGAAAAAGATTTAGTATCAGAAGAATTAGATCATAACTCATCAAACGGTGAAAATTTATGGAATGTTCAAGCAGAAGTAGTACCTCTAACGCCATCAATGCGAGATGTTGAAGTGCAAGTATCAAGCGGTATCACTTGTTTTATCAACATTTTTTCCACATTTTATTATATGGCCAGCTTTCAAAAGTTCTTCGGCTTCCACAACACTTCTTGAGCTTGCATTTGCATTAACCCAATCAAAAATTGTTTTTAAATTTATCATTAGAAAAATTAAAAATCACAATATGCAATGCTTTCTATAAT